ACGTACGTACCGTACCGTACCGTAACCGTAACCGTAACGTAACGTAACGTAACGTAACGTAAGTAAGTAAGTAAGTAGTAGTAGTAGAGAGAGAGAGAGAGAGAGAGAGAGAGAGCTCTACAAAGAGCTACCATCAACAGAGACTAGTAACACAGTGACTCTAAATTGAGATAGACCAACTTTTGAAAATGCTACCAATTCTGAGAACACCATGCCTCCAAACTGCTATAATCGGTCAGAGACAGAGAACAGCATCAGGCAAAATTGAGATTTCTTCTCTAGTTTCTAAGCCAGTATAATGATTAGCATGGAAAAAGAATATTGTTATCCAAGAATTCGATTCATTTTGTCTGAAATGTCGCTTAATCTAACACTTTCTTTTGTGTTATATCCAGAGCATTGACGCCAGGGCATGACCCTGTTCAAAAAATTACTATAATACCTCGAGGTCAGGCTCGTGGGCTAACTTGGTTCATTCCCGGAGATGACCCAACTCTTGTTTCAAAGCAACAAATATTTGCAAGAATAGTTGGAGGCCTTGGAGGAAGAGCAGCTGAGGAAGTGATTTTTGGAGAGTCTGAGGTCACCACTGGTGCAGCAGGGGACTTGCAACAGGTCACCCAGGTAGCAAAACAGGTAAAGTTTTCATTTACCTAACATCTCGATTTGCACAATATATACAATATACTCTAGGGTCAATGCTTGTGTTTATTTATCAATACATACCGCAAATCGCATATGGAGAAGCAATTATTAGTGCAAAATTAATAAACTAGTATCATAACATAGTTTGCTGTTGATTTACAGTTGTATCATGCATGAACATAATAAAATTAAAAAAATTAAAAGATAAGGGGAAAGGTAAATAATAAATTACTCAGGCCTATGTGCCTGAGTAAGATTTACTAAAATTGAAATTTAAATTCAACAAAGCTTACCAGTATTTCAAAACCTTGCATTGCTTTTTGGTTTAGAAACAGTGAAGGTGACAAAACTGTAGGAATTAACCAATCAAGGGAAAACACACCTGTCGAAGTCGACAATTTAGAAGATATTCAAAGCATATTTTGAAGTGGAATATTTTTAGAAAATCAAATGGAGGAATACAAAAATGATCAACCTTTTCATTTATTTGCTGTATCATACTATTTCTTTAATTATTGAATAAATCTTTCTAAACAAATAATAAACAAAAAGGGTTCCTTTTGGAGATTTCCTTAATCTCTACTTTCTTCCTTTTGTAGATGGTCACAATGTTTGGGATGTCGGAGATCAGACCGTGGTCATTGACTGAACCAGTAGCCCAAAGCAACGATGTGGTTTTAAGAATACTAGCAAGGAATTCCATGTCTGAGAAACTTGCAGAGGACATTGATAAGTCAGTCAAGAGAATTATAGACAATGCATATGAAATAGCCAAGAACCACATAAGAAATAACAGAGCAGCCATGGACAAGCTGGTTGAAATGCTTTTAGAGAAAGAAACACTCACAGGAGATGAATTCAGAGTAATATTGTCAGAGTTAACTGAGTTTCCATTGGACAAAGCCAGTATAAGTCCTGCTCCTCTACCGGTCACAGCTTGAAATCCATGATACTGTACAGTATTTGAAATAAAGACTTGATGTAAATCTCATATTTAGATAATGATCAAGAATAAATACTTCTAATTCCTGAAATACCTGGGCCACCCCATCCTTTTTCTCTTCCTATAATTAAACGAGTGGCAATCCTATTCTTTTTTAATTTCATCATACACTACGCCTTTTCAGAGCACAATCATTCATAGTTGCGGGAAATTTATTAAAGGAAACAATTATATCTGGGGCATGCTCATCAAAGGCAAAAGCAGAGATCAATGGTTGCTATGCGTTTTTCAATGGTGATATATGGTTGTTTTGCTTCTTCGATGTTCAGTTTGTAGAAGGGATTATATACAATGAGACTATTTATCTTTTGTACATAGAGGTCACACTCATTCTTACTCATTAAATGTCAAATTGGATGACTTGGGGTTAGTCACAAAGTCCGATAAATTTTTTTTTTGAATTTTATGTCTATTCAATGATACTCTTACAACCATCAGTTTTGAAATTTAAGAGACAAAAATGATTCTGTACAAAAGATAAATGGTCTCTTTATAGGCGATCTCTTTGTGGAATGCTCTGTTACCGCTTAGAGGATATGTTCATGAAGATTGAAGTTTTTTGGGGTTCGTGCACTTGCCTGATTGGTCCCAGTGTTGAGGATTGTAAACTCTAAATCTCCCGTTCAAATTCCACACCAACTTATCCAGAAAAAAAGATGAAAACAAAAGATGATCCATGGGCTTTTAAGGTGTTTGTATGGCACCATCAACAAGAGGGACGGCAGACTATCATGAAATTTAGTAGTCTTTTGTTCTTCAGGGGTGTATCTTCTGTCTGATTCACTGCTCATCATGCTCTGGTCCTTGGCTATGTTCGAAGAGATGCATTGTGATGATTGGCTCAAACCGTCCAATACATGGTTGATGCTTCTCACTTTAAGGAATTGTACCCGACAAGCCAGATAAAGCCTTGTAGGCCTATAATTGGCTCAGTATCAAGCCCCAAGATTGACAATCAACTGGTTGTTCAATATTTGGCTCACCAGTAATCGTTACAAGAGCAAAGACCTTCTCTAAAATGGTGGAACCGGCTTCTATCTCTCACTATGATCTCTCTGTTATAAATCCTTGAAAGAACCTTCGCAACAGAATTCCAATCCACACAAATCCTCAGGTTCTTAGTGATCCTAATTGTCGTTCCTGGAGGTGTGCTGATGAGTGCGAAAGCGATTGCAAACTTCTCACTACCGTAAGAGAGCTTTCTCTCTCATCTCCAAATCTGAATCGTGAAGCTCAGCTGCCATGTTCACAGCATAACCTGAATACTTCAATTGCCTTTCCATCTCTTCAAGCATTGCATAAATCTCCTTAGATCGAGGGTGTGAATTATCATCCACCACAAACTTGTAAATCTCTCCATTCACTTCAATTGAACTCCATCCTGGTGAGGTTTGAATCCCATCATCTTTCATCACTTTTCTCAAGTTTGCAACCCCATCCCAGTTGCCCTTCGATGCATAGATATTTGTTAGCAGAACATAGTCACCCGCTTGTTGAGCCTTTAGGTCAGCGAGATGATCCATGACCTTTTCACCAAGACATGCGTGGCCATGGATGCGACATGCACCGAGAAGAGTTCTCCATATGGTCGCATCAGGCTTGACATGCATTGAGCTTATCGTCCCATAGGCCTGTTCCAGCATTCCAGCTCGACCGATTAGATCAACCATGCACCCATAACGGTGCAAATTTGGCACAGTCTTATACTTGCCATGAATGAGATCATGGAAATGTGCATGCCCATCATCCACTAATTCGGCATGGCTGCATGCAGATAACACACCAGTGTGCGTATGCTCATCAGGCTTAACCCCCGATCTTAACATGGCATCAAAGGCATCAAGGGCCATCCTCCCATGACCATGCATTGCGAGCTCGGATATCATGGTGGTCCATGTGACCACGTTCCTTTCCATCATCTCCCTAAAAACTATATATGCCTTATCCAAACACCCACACTTTGCATACATATCAATCAGAGAATTACACAGATTAATGGCTTTTGTAAATTCTCTTTGGTCTATATACTCATGGACCCTTTCGCCTAAATCCAATGCCCCCAAATTAGCGCAAGCCTGAAGAGTAAGCAGGCAAGTAACATTATCTGGGTGGGCCCATCTTCTGTTACCATCTCCTCGAAAAGCTTTAACGCATCTCTGGTTCGTGAATTTTGCAGAAAACTTGAGATTAGAACATTCCAAACAACTGTATCTCTTCGAGGCATGATATCGAACACTCTATGCGCATCGTGACCATAATGACATCGAGCATACATATCCATCAAAGAAGTTAAAAGGAACACATCTGGTTCATACCCATCTCGTATAATCCGACAACGAATTTGTTTTCCTTCGAACACGGCAAGAAGATTTGCACATGATTTGAGTGTGAAAGAGGAAGCAAAGGCATCGGTGTTCACACCAGTTTTCCTCATATGTTTATAGAAGAAGAGGGCTTTCTCAGGGGATTCACCGAGAGAGTAGCCTCTGAGCATGGTGTTATAGAGATAAACTTCAGGTTTTCTTATTCCGGCAAATACCAAACGAGCGTAATTCATGTTAGAGGGGGAAGAGAGGGCGACGAAGGAGAGGAGATGTCGTAAAATGGAGGGATGGTGTATGATAGATGTGCATATAGGTCAGGCATGGATTTGGCGAAGTTGATCCATGGATGGGCATAATTTCAAAAGAGAGATTAATGTCTCTTCGTGGTTTTTGTCTGCCATCTTCTGAGTCAAACCCACAGTTTTTAAGTTTTAACGAAGAAATGGAGGTTAGGGGAAGAACACTGATGTTTGCTTCCTGACTCAGCAGGGGGCTGGCCCGGGTCGAGTATCCCATTTTAAAACACTGATAATTAATTATAAGAATTACAACCAAATAAAAGACAAACCAAATAAAAAGGAACAAGGTTACATAGAACAAAACAATGGTTTTATAACATACATTTCTAATCAAATGGAATATACATGTGCACTGAGAAGAATCACTAAATTACAAAGAGTGAAACCCACCAAGAAGTTAAAATTCTCAGATCCTGGAGAGCAGACTCTTTTTTAGATCCCAAGATATCAAGAATTTAACAATAATTTCCTCTTAATTTATTTACCAATAATCACCACACGAGCACGACCCACCTCTAAAGTGGTGGAAATGATGCAAATCCCACAATATTATCTCCCTATCAAAAATCTTCAAAACGAGCTTCGCCATGCAGTGACAATCTGCACACACGCTGAGGTTCTTCACAATGGGCACGGTGGTACCAGGGGCCATATTTATGAGCCCAAAAGCCATGGCCAGTTTTTCACTATGGTATCGAAGTGTCGCTTCTTTATCTTCCTTGCCCATATCGACATGAAAACCAATGAAGTTTGAGGTATATAACCACCAAGCTTAAGCTGTTTCATGAGCGCGTCAAGTATGCTCTGTAGCTCTATAGCTTGAGGGTGGTTCCCATATCCTGAGAAGAACTCATGAAGCATAGTCCCCACCGTGCTCCTTGTCGTGTTCAAATATATGCTCTGCAACTCTCTTGCCCAACTCTACACTGCCTTGGACACCACAGGTGGCTAAGAGGGTGTGCCATAATATGGGGTTGGCTTGATCGGGAGGCTTTTGATGAAACTATAGGCCTCATTTAGGAGACCAGCTCGACCGACTAGGTCCACCATGCAACCATAGTGCTTTATTCCTGGTGTAACCCCGTACACGCCCTTAATACCTATATGCCGAAAATAAGAAAAGAGTGAGAAAAATTTTCATTCAATATGGATCTTTTCAAACCCACTGTAATACACCAGATCCTATCTGAGTTCCATTTTCATTATAAGGTAGGTATGTTTATTATATCAACATTAATCCACTAGATTCAGAACTTCACTTTCAATATAGCGCGTATTAATGAGCACCAATGCAAATTTTCATTAATCATCATCTATAACAGATAATAGACAGTGCTAGAGAGAAAGTAGGACTCATGAACATGACATCATCACAGTTCAAGGCTCTCTCCTTCACCATTCATCATTTCAATGGATGGTGACCACCCACTAGGACCGTCATTTTATGTTATCCACTAAGTGTTTGCGAACTCCGTTGGTGCAACTTGGAACCGGTTGGTGGGATCGAGAACCGGGCACTGGCCGGTTCCAGTTTTGGCTGGTTTTGGTTATCCGGTAAGATATTTTTTAAAAAAATTAAAAAAGAATTATATAAAATCTTAAAAAATAAGGGATTTGTTTTTTTTGAGAAAGTAAAAATAGAGGAGTTTTTTGTAATGCATTTTTGAATGAACGTTTTGGAAAGTGTTTTGGCTATGAATACTTATTTTTCCATTTTTCCATCTTTTTTGAAAAATTACAAAAATACTCTTAACCACAAATCGGTTTTCTAAAAATATTTTTTTTACTCATTTTCAACTTCATTTGGATATGCTTTGTTTAATTATGCTTTAAATATATTTTTTATATTTGCTTAGATTTTTTTTTTTGAATGCTTTTTTGACCGGCCAGGACTTAACCTAATTAGGTCAGTTGAAGTGGCCGTAGAGGATTACTCGAAACCGGCCCTTGGCCAGTTGTCGAAGCTGGTTCAATTTTTCGAACACTGGTCCATTTAATTGACTACATTTAACATATTTTTCGAACACTGGTCCATCAATTGACTACATTTAACATATTTTTACTGGTCCATCAATTGACTACATTTAACATTTAACGAAGAAGAGACTACCTTCGGCCGAAGAAGAGACTACCTTCGGCCCTCGTCTATCAAAGCCAGTGTGGCTACAAGCATACAAAACACCAAGGAATGTGATATGGTCAGGTTTGATTCTCTCAGTCTCCATCTTTCTAAACAAGGCGAGTGCATCCTCTCCTTGTCCGTGTATTGCAAATGCAACAATCATGGCAGACCAAGCCTGCGTATCTCCAAAAGACATCTTTTCAAAAACCATTTTTGCATCCTCTATGCTCCCACATTTTGCACACATATCTATGAGTGCAGTGTTCACCTTAACGAACTTATCGAGTCCATTCTTCTTCAGAAATTCGTGAACCCACTTCCCCAAATCCACAGCCCCGAGTAGAGAGCAAGCAGAGAGCACGCTAAGCACATTTACATTTTTTGGCGGTGTATTATGTGCCTCCATTTCTCTAAATAGGGCCAAGGCCTCATTAGGCTGACTACTTTGAACATAAGCAGTGATCATCGAATTAGACGAGACCACACTCCTCCCTTTCATTGTGGTATTGAAAACCTTATGAGCTGATTCAATGGCACCACAATCAGCATACATTCGTACGAGTGTTGGCTGAACAAAGGTGTTCGAATCAAGCTTGATCTTTATGCAATGGCAATGCAAAGCTCGGCCTTCTTTGAGAGCTGAAGCCATGGCACAAGCCTTGAGAATTGAAGGGAATGTGTAGTTTTCGGGTTGAACGTTATTGGTAAGCATCTCGACAAAGAGATTGATTGCTTGAATTGGGGTGGCTACGAGAATATGATCCAATGAGAGTGTTGAAGAGGACAGTGTTGGGTTCTGGGATTTGATCGAACAATTGTTGGGCATATTCGATGTTTTCAGGTAGAGAGAGAGAACAGAAACTTAAGAGATTAGAAAGGGTGGGGACGTGGTTTTGGAGGTGGGTTTTGATGGTGTTGGCTTGGTTTTGCTTGAGTTGGGAGAGGGTGGTACACCTAAAGAGGAGAGAGAGAGATGGTGGTGATGGCGGGTCTGAAATTTTAGTGCCAGGAGAAAAGAGATGGGTTGGGTTGAGAGGTAAGGATGTGGAAGCCATGGCTGAAAGAACCCAAATTATATCTCAATCAAATTTCCTCTCTCTCTGGCTTGGAAAACTGTAATAGTCTTTACAGCATGGTAATCTATCTGAAACTGGAAATCACAGGTAATGTACCCCTTGATGCAAGCCTAAAATCTCTCTCCAATGGAAACCTCTCCCACTGTGAGAATTTGAGACACAAGCTCTCTCTCTCTCTCAAGAACACATGCTCCCGCGGGAGCAACGTGGTCTAGTTCGCTCTCCCTAGCGCAGAGAAGAACGATTTCCGGTCTTCAAAAATAAGGGTAATTTAGTCATTTGTCCAAATACCGCCAACTCTTGATTGGACGGCGTTAAAGGGAATCGCTAGTGTCCTCTTAGCCGTATATCACGGTAACGGGAGTAGCTAGCGTTGTCTTAACCGTAGATCACTGTGCCTCTTCATCTCAACCGTTGATGTAACACTTGAAACGCTTTAAAAACCCTAAAGGGACCCCGTTCGGAGAAGGCATAGAGGCCCTTCATTCCATGGCCATGCCCATTGTTCTTAAGGTTTCTCTCTTCTCTTCCTCTTCATTTTATTGACTCTGTCTAATGTTTGGTCTTGTTTGCGATCAGAGATGAGAGATCTCTCTAGGTTTCTCTCCCTTCATTTTCTATACTCTCTCTAATGTTTAGTCCTTGTAGTTGCTTTATTTCCTTGAGATTTGAACGACAGGGCTGTTTTTTATTTTTAAATTAGGGTTTTAAAAGGAGATGGTAGTTTTTTATGTTTATTTTTTCTTCTGAATCTTTGATATATTAATATCAGATTTTCAGCACCGTTTGATTTGCACAAGGTCTGATCCATTTCTTGGTTGGATTGAACTTTGAAACTGGTGCTAAAATAGAAGTCCATTGCATTGCGTTTTGAATGGAATGCAATTGTAATGGAAGCGGCCAGACAACCGTAGGGTTGGATCCACAGATAAAGGGCTCAAAATGCCCCTTGTCTACTGATTCCAACCCACACCTATCCCTCTCTTGATGAAATTTGATGAAATTTTATTACACTTTCGATGAATTTCCTTCTCCTTTAGATGCATATCTCTGTCTCTTATCACGTGGGTCTCTCTCTATACTTTTATTGAATATCTCTCTTTTGATGAAACCGACCTTTCTCTACCTCTGAATTACCTTTTCATTTATGTTTTTGTTTTTTTTTTCCTGAATTACCTTTTATTTTTGTTGATTTTTCTGAATTACCTTATCTTTTTTTCTTTATTTTTTATTTTTTATTTTTTGTCGTAGGTGATAGAAAACTAGGCCAAACTGGCTACTGCAAACTAGGGCTTGCGCCCGTTCTGAGTGCCTTGCCCTACTCGGCCCGTGTTTTTCCATAGAGCAAGTCTTTTGATTGCTATAGGACTGGCTGACGCCCGGCCCACCTATTCATATAAGCTAGGTCCGCTTTTTCCTATAAGCTAGGATGACTCAGTAAGCTAGGATGACTCAGTACTATTTTTTGTACTTACAGGTTCAATGTTTTCAGCCACCCTTTTCTTTTGTTCTTATCCATCGTTTTTGATATGTTTTAGTCTTTTGGATTATTGCCTATCCTAATTATCTTTTGGTACTTTAAATCCAACTATTTAACTAATTGTTTTAGATTTTGGCCTCTGAAAATTCATAAGGCTGTTGGGCCGTCGTACTGAGAAACTCAGAAATTGTTGAAGTTTCTTCCAGTTGCTACAAATCAGAAATTTGTTCGAGATTTTATTTTTTTGGGTGGAATGCAAAGATATTATTTATGAATTTTATTTGTTATTTCATTAGTTTTCAACAGTAAAATATGAAAAGTGGATTTATGCATTCTTTTCATTTAGCAATGTTTATGGTTCATATCAATGTTGGCAATGGTTGTACCTGAAGATGTAATTGTTAGCAATGCTTGTACTTGCAGTTGTAATTATCGAAAAGATCCAATATATCAGAGCCGATCAAGATTCTTACGTGGTAGAGCCCTTCTGTTCAACAAAGCTCAGATAGAGGTGTTTTGTGCAACAATATTTTAGGTATGAACCACTGAAATTCTTTGGAATAATTGCTAATAATCTTGTTTGAAAAAGCTCATGAGGTATCAATCCTATATTGTGAAAGTAAGGGTTACCTCATAAACCCTTTACAATATGTTGCTCTAATTCTTGTAAGTCTGAAAACAGTGTTGGAAAAATGGGGCTGTTCGAATTCTACTTGCTCAGTTAGATCCCACTGGCTGGTTCTTGTTTTGCCCGGTTTTGGTGAACTGGCCAAGTATTTTAAAATAAATAAAAAATTATAGAAAATCTCATAAAAGTAAGTGATTTTTTTTGGCCATTAATACTTCTGTTTACATATTACATCTTGTTCTAGAAAATTTAAAAATATCCCTTGAATTGTTGTAATTTTTATTTTATTAATTTTTAACGTCATTTAAATGTGCTTTGTTTAATCATGCTTTAAATATGTTTTTTTATATATTCTATTTTTTAACAAATTTTGACTTCCAAGGACTTCAGCTACCTGGTTTACTAGTTAGGCCGGTTGGACTGTGTTTGAACCCATATCCGGTTAACTGTTTCGAGTCGATTTTTCCTATGTTGGTATGAAACAAAAGATCATAAAATAAAAATACAAATTGTGTATCTTGTAATGAATTATCTGGTTTGTTTGTTTTCAATCCTTTCAATTGTTTAAAAATTTCATTATGAAGCACCATTTTACCTGTTTGAGGGGCATGCTTTAAATAACCACCCATATTGTATTATTACTCAAGAAATAGTCATTTTTGGTTCATTAGACATGCCACCTGTCTTGTATAATAATCATGGGTATAGTCTTTATTGGTTCAATTCACATACCTTAGTCGTTGGATTTTTATTTATGAAGAGCTTTATTCTCCCTTTTTTAGGAAAAAAAGACATCTTGAGAATTACAAGGCCATTCTAAGAATTTTTTAATGTATTTTTTTGAGTAGGTGTGAGTGAAATAGAAATTAGAAACAAACCTTCTTCTTTTTAATAGGGAAGATTTTTTTAAAAAAATGTTTAATAGACTGGATTTTAGTCCCTTAAAAGGCAACTTTGCCGAGGTGATCATTTTTTTTTTGATCTCCTCTTTTCCCTGTTGCCAATATCAAATAAGAATTTTTGTGCGTGATCTTTTAAATCTATTTATCTGATCAATGCAAATCCTAATGAGGATTGTTAATCCACATTTTCCAATTTTAATGTGTATTGATATTTTTCATTGATAATCCATATTTTCCAATTTTTTTAATTGGGAATGTACTTTAAAATATCAATCAATAATTTGTGAATTTAAAAATAATCCTCTAGATATTTTGTAATTTTGTATTTCCATTTTACCCCTAATTTGGACATCTAATTCCTGAACAAGTTGTCTTGCATTTTTTGGTTAAAAACATTATTCATGAGATGGTAGAAACGCGGGAGGTTTGAGCATGTCTCACTCAGAAAATTAGTCACTAACTATGATCGCTGAATCTCGCTACTTGTAAATCTTCTAAAACATATATTGATTTGGAAGTTGTATATATTTGAACCTAGCCCATTTAAATGAACAATACACAAAAGTATTCTTTCTATGGTAAAAACATGGGTGCAGTTGGCATACAGATGCATCTGTAGGTGTAGATACAGATGCATCCGTAGGTGTAGAGGTAAGGTGCACCTTCAAGTTTTATCATGGTGTATAATTTTGATGTAAAATGTTCTTAGGATTATCTCAAAATCTATTTTTATAACTGATTATAAAGTTTTAAATTTCAATAATAGTTAAAATCAACTAGATATGTAACCATATCAAAATCTTGAAAGTGGATGTAGATAATATGCCGTAAAATGCACTATTTTCTATTTTTACCACTGTAATCATCACATGACGCTAAATCTCTTAGCCATAATGGTGAGAGGGAAGGAAGAGAGAATATTCCCTTGTCAAATGCCTCTCGAAGCTTTGAAAAAAAGCCTTTAGGCTTTCCATTAATAAAAATGGAAAAATGAATGGATTTGAGGCAACCCTTTATCCATAAAAGCCAAACCATGGGTTTGTAAAAGGATTGTCCATTCCATTTCAAGATCAATCTTACATATAATAGGTAACGAGATTAAAGAATTAATCCTTATCCTTATCCTCCCTAATGTCTAGGGATCTCTCTATTCTATTCAAACAAACTGCCGCTCTCTACTTTCTCTTTCTACTCTTCAAAGTAAATAGGACTCACCAGTCTCTCTCTCTACATGTGGAGAAAACTATCTTCCAATACATCTCATTTGCACAAATCCACTTGTACAATTTATTGTTAAGTGTAAATCTTAAGGTCCTATCTTCCTTATCCATTACACATGTGTCCCATTCCTTCACATCAATTAGAGTGATTCTATCTAAAACTTCCCTAATTTTTGCTTCGTAATTACAATTATTCTTTTTCTTCCATTCCATCAAATCCTTCTTAACTCCTTGAACTTTTTTGGAAACTATGAAACCACTCCACCCATCTGCTTCATTCGTCAAACATGATTCTTAAACATGATTCTTTTATTAAATCATTCATGACAATGGAATGTGGTCCGAGGACATTTTTGGCAAAGCCCTAACAGCTGCCCTAGAAAACAATTTAGCCCAACCAACATTAACCAAAAACAGATACAACCTAGTCATAATAGATAAACAATTTTTGACCAATTAAACTTGGCCCTAGCTGCAGGCAAATCCAATAAATCAGAATCTGCTACTGCTCTATTCTTCAACCATGATTCTTTTATTAAATCTTCATCACATTGTTTTTGATCCATGCTATTTCAAATTTGGAGTAACTCCCGACCATCTTACGAGATTGACTTTCCCATATGAATGGAATGTGGTCAGAAGGCATTTCTGTCAAAGCCCTAACAGCTGCCATAGAATACAATTTAGCCCAACCCACATTTGCCAAAAATGCGCGCAGAAAACATCACATAGACCGAACCACCAACATATGGAAATATGGAGGTTGAACGCCTGGCAACAGACATATGGAAGTATCTTTTATGCATGTTTATAGATTAGGAAATATGGAGGTTGAACGACTTGCGAAAGATGGTATTGTTACTACCGAACTAACTTTCTCTTGATTGGTTTTAGTTAGTGCTGTGTTTCTATTTTTTGCTTTAATTTTGTTTGTTTGTCGAGTTTTTATTTTTTTCTCTTTGTGTAAGTTTGTTTTTTCGCTGAGTCTTTAGGACAACTGTGATGTAATTCTAGTAAAGTTTGGAATGTAATGTTACTAGTTCTCAAAAAAAAAAAAAGAAAGAAAGAAAGAAGAAGTTATTCTAAAGAGAGAAACCAACATCATTGGAAAATAGAATGCAATATATATCATAAACCCTAGAAAGAAAGCATTAAATTGTTTATAATTCCTTGCATCACCCGTAAACCCATCAAATTGTTCATAATTTCAAGCCGTCCATAATTTCGTGCATCATCCACATGGTCACCCATAAAGCCTAAAAAGAAAGTAGTATCAAACTGTTCATAATTTCGTCTGTCATCCACATGGTCACCCATAATTTCATAATTGCTTATATTCCAAGAACCCTCAACTATGCATTAAAAAGAATGAAATCAATATTATTATCGCGAAAGAAACCAAGAGAGAAAAAATCGCCTTCAAATCTTCATCATCATCATCCATGGAAGAACTTGGATCGCGTCTCTTTGCATATCCACCGAAAAAGAAGAAACATATCTGTTATTACGTTTTGGCCAATCGCTTGAACCTGTTTGCACATTTACCTTAGAGAGAAAAGGCTGTGAAGAAGAAGAAGAAGAAGAGATGGGGGTGAGGAAAGCCAACGCTTATTAAAATCGTTCAGAGGTTGACTTCATCTTCAATATTCATGACTATCATTCAAATCGTTTTGAGGTTGACACCACTTTCCCATTAGAATCTTTCTCCTCCAAATGGGTTTCTATTCATCTTTTTTCTTTTTTAAAAGATAACCACCAATGCATCCAAAGCTCTCGATTAGAGAGAGTTCACGTTCTAGTTTACACATGGGTTCAGCTCCACAAACTACTGCATTCGGTTCTTTCAGCTCTGGTGGTGCGGGGAGTGCAGGCCTCTTCTTGATCGAGGTAAAGCGTGTTTTTAGAGAAGAAGATTGGGTGCTTGAAATGGGAGGAAGAGTCATCTCTGGGTCTCTTTGGGAGAAGAGGGAGGATGAATATGATCACTTGTAGATTTTTTTGCCTGTAGTGCTGCTAATTGAGATGCTTTTATGGCTATACCTGTTTTCCCATAGGGGACCAGCAGTCGACCCAGTTTGTTTGAATAGAATAGAGAGATCCCCATTCGTTAGGGAGGATAAGGATTAGCTCTTTAATCTCTTTATCTCATATATCTCTCTATCTTTGATCTGTCCATCTTTGAAAGGCCACTTGATTTGGGACACGTGGCACATAAAAAATAACTACAGTTTTGGAACATAGGTTAGGAGGTAGGTTTCGTAAAATGAACGGTACTGACCATCAATGTGAAATTTGATACTTGAGTGTGTCACAAAGTTTGAACAAATTTTGTTAGAATATGCATACTTAGATAACCACTAATGCATTTGATGCTTGCGATCAGAGAGAGTTCACCCTCTTGTTTCCACCTAGGTTCACCTCCACGGACCGCTCCATTCGGTTCTTTCAGCTCCGGTGGTGTTGGGAGTGTATGCCTCTTCTTGTCCATTCATTGCTCGAGGGGCGTAGAGTTTGGAGATGGGGCAACGCCGGTTTTTAGAGAAGAAGCTTGGGTGCAAGTTGGCCATTGATTTATGTGGTGAAATAAATGTGCTATATTTTTTTTATCCTTCAGCCTAGGATTGACTTGATTTTTGGAGGGTAGCTTCCAATGTCTTGTATTAAAGATAAACTGATCTGTCATATTACTATTTTTGGTTGGTTTGATCAAAGTTTGACCATGCATTCATAATTGGGTTGTGATATTTCTTGTTTGCAGTAGGGAGGGCATCTATTTCTCATACTAAAGGATTTTTTTTCTTTTTCTTTTTTCATCTTAAAATTTATTATGAGATTGTTTTTTACCTACCTAAATAGACTTGGGTGGGTTGGTTATTATAGTGTAGACTATAGTTAACAAGTTGGGGATTATCAATCTCTCTCTCTTAAGTTATGTTGGGGTTTTTGATAGTGTATAGAGATGCTAAGCATCTCTCTCTATTTCTTTTACTTTTATTCTCTCTCTGTCTCACTGCTAATCATACTTCGTTAATTTTATGTACATACGGGTGCCTCCGAGTCAAGGCCACCCATTGGGACCAATTTAATTATACATTTTGGGTGAGCATTGTTATTCATCTTGATCATTGCACAAATATGTCCCTTTTTTTGGAGGAAATTCAAAACAATATATTCCCTGAGCTTCTTTTATGGATTCTTTGTTTACCTTATCTCTTTTTTGTTCACTTGTAGAAACGCAATAATTATGTACCAATAATTATGTAGATTTTTACTCTTTGGAATATAATTCTCACATTGTAAAGACATTTTTTTGTCTCATTTTATATGCAGTTTTATCTTATACAACTTTATTATTATATCATGTTGTTTTGAAATTAAAATAATCTTTTGTTTTTTCTTTTCCATTCACTTCTCTTTCATTTATTTTGTTCGGATCACCCTTTTTTACCGAAGAAAAAGGGTAAAGGTCTTTGGTTTATCCATTTTTTCTTGTGCAATCCCTTTTTTTTAAAAAATTCTCTTTATTTTTACATCGGTCTTCCTCAGTTTCCCTGTTTTTGAGATGCCGTTCTCAGTGAAAATGGGTGATGGTGTTCTTCCTAAATAATAATTATAGGTTTGTGAAAATAGACAATGGTATTTCACCTAAATAGTAGACACAAGTACTAAAGAAGAGAATACTCAAGATTTGAGTCAAACTTTCTCGATTTTTACACGAGCTACTCTATATTTATTCGATCTAATAAACTAATTTTACAATATCCAGAATAATAGCTATGCACTCCATTTCATGAATAGAATACGACTGGTTGACATGCTGGGTAGTCGGTTTGACCCGGCCCCATTGCCACCCTATACCTACACAAAATATGTAGGTATATTAAAATCATTTCACGAATCATATAATTTAACACAACGGTTCATATTTTAAATTTTAAGCGTACTAATTTTTTCATGTAAAGTTTTGGACAAATAATTACAAACGTGAATAGTCCTGTGTTTACCTTCGACTACAAATAAATTATTAATATGTAATTCATCAAATCATCCCATAGAAATTAGTTTTATAAGTTATTTATGCCTATTTTTAAAAATTCTTGTTATGAGTTTTGTTTAATTCCAATTTTAAATATGGTTCTAATGTGAGTCACAAATAATTGTGAAATATTTTTTATAATTATAATATTATCATAAATTAGAATTCTCCATCTAACTTCATTTATAAAATTTAAATCAGCTTAAAAAGGTAAAGATTGAATTATGTATTAAATCTTCCAAAGAGACGATATTAACAAAGAAAAAACGAAACTTAAAATGTTCATCTTATTAATATGTTATGATAATGTCTATATTTGTATTTAACTTATATGTAATAGAAATATTAATGTGAAATATAATTGTTTAAAAAATTATTGAGATGTTTATATTAACTAAATATAGTCAAAATCTATTCTATTTTCAATTTTAAAACATGCTTTTGATATAACTTCGTGGCAATTTAACCGTATTGCCACCGGTTACTGGCGAGTGAGGTCAGCGACTGCATACTTAATCATTTACTAATTTGATCGCTTATAGTGCTAGATGGATAATTGAAAGTATGGTTGATCTTATTGACTCTATTTGTGATTAAAACTATTTATATATTTGAATTATTTTGTATATTAATTGATAATATTTCTCGATTATAAATTTTATTTTATAATATTAAAATAATTGATATTTATTAATCTAAATTTAAAAGATGTGAACTTTTAAAGTTGTGGTCTTAAATCAAAATTGTTTGACTTATAATTTTTGCAACAAAAAAGGTTTATATAAGGTTGCAACTTTAAAAATTTAAAATAAGGTGCATCCTAAAAATCCATCATAAAAAGCTGGTTTGATGTTGGAAAATCCTGTAGTTGATCATCCATTGCAACATATGTACGAATTAGAAAAAAAAAGAAAAAAAATATGAATCTAAAAAAGTGGTACATCTTATTTGCACTGGTAATGTTCAAGATTTTCATATTTTTATGGATATACTTGGTTGTAAAAAAAATTTATATTTGATAGATTTATTTCGTGGATATATTTATTTCATTATCCAAACTCACATTCTAACAAAATTTGTTCTAACTTTGTAACATACCCAAGAATTCGATTTTACATGGATGATCGCAAAGCAATGTGACGTCTCTCTAGCCAACGGATATGGTCTCATTCAATACCGTTATTTTTACGAAACCTCTTTCCAAACTTTTAGTTACAAAACTGTAGGCATATTTTATGTGCCACCTGTTCCAAATCAGGTGGCCATTCTTATATGGATGGATCAAAGATAGGGAGAGATTTGAGATAGCGAGATTAAAGACTTAATCCTTATCCTCTACTTTTTCTCTCTAATCCTCAAATTAAATAGACTCACCAGTCTCTCTCTCTACATATGAAAAAAAACTACACTTTCTTATTGTCATATATACTTATTTTTGTGTAGAATACCAGTTTCTCTCTCTAGGATGGGTCGACCGTTGGTCCCTTATGAGGAAACAAGTAGCCATGAAAGCATCTCAACTAGCAGCACTATAGGGAAAAACTCTACACAAGTAGTAATCATCTTCAACCTCCCTCGTCTCCCAAAAATGAGAACCAGAAGACGAGATGACTCTTCCTCCCATTTGTTTCACCCAAGCTTCTTCTCTAAAAACACGCTTTGCCTCATCTCCAAACTCTATGCTCTCTCGATCAAGAAGAGGCCTGCACTCCCTGCAACATCGGAGCTGAAAGAACCGAATGGAGCAATTTGTGGAGGTGAACCTAAGTGCAAACCAGAGGGTGAACTCTCTCTAATTGCAAGCTTTGGATGCATAGGTGGTTATCTTTTAAAGAAGAAAAAAGATGAAGAGACCCCTATTTGGAAGAGAAGGATTTTGATGGGAAAGAGGTGTCAACCTTTGAACGATTTTAATGATATCTGCATGAATATTGAAGATGAAGCAGAAAAAGAAGAACAAGAAGAAGAGGTGTTTACTGACGGTTGGCTTTCCTCACCAATGTCTTCTTCTAGTTCTTCGTATACTCGCACTTCTTCTTCTTCTTCTTCGCGGACTTTTCTCTCTAGTGTAAATGTGCATTCAGATTCAAGCAATCAACCAAAAAGTAATAAGAGACGTGTTTCTTCTTCTTCGGTGGATTTGCAGAAAGACGTGATGCAAGTTCTTCCATGGATGATGTTGATGAAGATCTGAAGGGGATTCTTTCTCCTGGTTTCTTTCTCAGCAATTATGAAACACGTGATGTTTCTCTTTAGGGTTTATGGGTGACCATGTGAAAGACGCATGAAATTATGAACAGTTTGATACTTTCTTTTTTAGGCTTATGTGGAAGATGCATGAAATTATGAACAATTTGATGCATCCTTTTTAGGGTTTGTGGGTGATGCAAGGAATTATGAACAATTTGATTCTATTTTCCAATAATGTTGGTTTCTCTCTTTAGCCCAAATCAAGGAATGCAAAAACATATAAATGCCAAGCGATTTGAGAGAAGGAGAACCAAATGCCAATAAATTTCAAAAGTTCTTTTTCTTAATCGTAAAACTAGTTATTTGTGCACATTCAAGGGATCCCAGACGACAATTTTTCACCCTTTTTTTATGCAAAAGGATTTCGACCAAAAATCACCATTGCCCATATTTCAATGTACTCTTCTTTCTAATAATGCGTTTTAGTCAATCTGGCAATTGTGTTCATGATGACACAGTAAAAGCTTGTATTTTTTTATTCAAAACACGTTCAAGTAGATTTTGTCAACCAACCCTTTGAAAGTTATATATAGACATTAAGTTTTGTGGCTATGATCTTTTGGGTTGTTTATTTTTCTGTTTTGGATTCCCATGGATATGCTTGGGAAAGGATTCAGCATACCTACGGATGAAGATGACATTATCTATCCTATGCGGATTCTTCACCTTCTCTCTTGTTCCAAACCACCTTGTTAAGTATAAGATGATGACCATTTTATCCATGCCCCACGGCTTGTAGATCAATCTCTCTACTCTCTAGACGCCTTTGAATTATACTAAGTGTTAAAATTCTAAGAAGAAATTTGGACACTGTTCTTTTTCTCTTTTTTTTTTTTCTCTTCCATCTATTTCTTCCTTTTTTAAATTTGGGAACAAAGTAAATTACTATTCCATGACTCTTGTATTAACTTGTCATTTCATAAAAAAGTATGCGTATCCAATAAATTGTTAGTGTGTTTTCACAATTGCACGTTTTATCTTTTGTTTTTGGATCTCAGTCCATAGAAAACTTTATTTTCACGAGAGAGATAGAGAGGGATGTGTACCCAATAAATAAGTGAGAGAAAGAATTATACCCCATAAAATAAGGAAAATAGCAAGAGAAAGAGAGATCAGGATCGGACAGGTGCTCGAATCGGCAAAAGGATTGGTCCACTAAGAAGACTTTTTATATGTATAAATAATTAAAAATATTTATATTTAAAATTTTAATTAAAAATAAAAAGAGAAATGATCCACTCAAATAAAAAATATTAGGTTACACTATTGAAAGATCAATAAAAAATAAGAGATTTTTTCAATTAATTTAGTAAAAAAAATCCATCTTCTTCCAAAAATAAAAAATTTGAAGGAATTTAAAATTTAGTCCATGATACTTAAACTAAAATTAATAAAACCCATGACACTTAGGTGAACCTTTGTCGAGAGAGTAACAAGTGGACTATATAGGGACAGAACTTTTTAATAGAACTAAAAAGGGCAGCAAAAAAGTGAACGATGCATATCATAAGTAACAAAATTTTCATTTTAACCAGATGATTTTGGGCAAAATCTTAGAGGTCTTTTCCATTAAAATATCATGTGCAATCAAAATAAAAAACATAGGGAAAAGGACCCGGTTTATGGGTAGTGGGGAAGAAACGCGGATCTCTTAATAAATTTATTTATGAGATGGATTTACATCAATTTGCATCCATTTTTAACGGAGATGCTTTGCACTTTTTGGATGGCACCGCGGGAATGCACTCCCGCCCGGATCAAACACTTTTTTCTCGAAAAAAACGAAAGTATCGAACTGAAAAATGGAGCGGTAGGAAAAGATTGGATCGGTTGAACCCATGAGAACTGACGATCAAATCCATTCAACCGGTTAATGATGAAAGTAGAGGGAGAATTATATCCCCAAAATTCATGAAACGCAGAGAGAAATTTTCTCGAAACTTATAACCCCATAGGTTATCATATGAGAGAGAGACAGAGAGCAAGGGAGACAGAGAGCCCGACAGAACCATCTGAGATTGAAAGCCAGGCAATCATATAAGACATAGAGAGAGGCGAGAGAAAATAATATCCAAGAAAAAGCTATGAAAAGACAAACTTACCCATCTTTCTCTCCTCAATTCGTTAACGTATATACTACTTACATCGGCATTGCGGAAAATCTCTGTCTCCCTAAAAATGGCGAGGAATTGGTTGGACAAAAGTACTTATGGATCCTTTGGCCCTGATCATTCGTGAGAAAAATCTCCTCCTACACCCTTGACGATTAGAAAAACCAAGAAAAACCCAAACTTAAACGCCCTGTAAGCTCTCTATGGCGAAGATGTACAAGCCTCAAGGCTTTGAAACAAATCCATGGATTCACGGTCATCAACGGGTTCAATTCCAACCCCTCAGCTCTCAGAAAGCTCATTTTCCATTGTGCAATCACAGTTTCAGGCGCCATGGATTACGCCCACAAGCCTTTCCACCAAATTTTGAAGCCGGACTCCTTCATTTTCAACACCATGATAAGAGGCTCCTCTCAGAGCTCCACCCCATCTGATGCATTCACTCTCTACACTCAAATAGAGAGAACCCATATCAGGCCTGACAAAGTGACCTTCTCCTTCTTGCTCAAAGCTTGCTCAAGGCTCTCCTCCGCTTTCATGGGTGATCAATTTCATACCCATATTTCAAAACTTGGGATCGAATCTGATATGTTTGTCAGGAACACTATAATCCATCTCCATGCTACTTGTGGGAGCTTGGCAGTTGCAGAGAAGCTATTCGATGAATCAGGGAAGAGAGATGTAGTGGCCTGG